GTTCTGACTCCCAGGGCCCTGTGAGGCCCTGGGGGTGAGCAGAGCATGGAGCACGGATCCGAGGGTGCTGGCCTCAGTGGTGTGGGAGGCCGTAGGTGGTCTTTGGCGTGACTGGCTAGCTGAGTCTTCAGGAGGGAGAGGCCAGGCATGGCAGTGAGGGGGTGTGGTGCATGCTGGGAGCAGCTGCCTTGAGCTGTTCTCCTGGGCTGAAACTGATGCCTGCGTGGGAGTGAGTGATGGACCAACTGCTGGCCACTGGCTGGTGGCCTTGAGTGTGGCCTGGTCTTGCTTCCTGCTCCACAGCAGGATCAGACAAAGTCATGAGGGTGATGTCACTTTTCCTAATGGCTGTGTGCCGTTTTCCCTGGGCTGGGATACCACCCACTTCCCTCGAGTGGCCGGTGAATGTGTTTGGCAAACGAAGTGGCGGGGCATCGCCCCAGGGAACGGCTCCAAGGGTTGGAGCACCTGCCACCCATGCTGTGCCGTGGGTGGGCTCCTAGCTGCTGGCCAAAGGCTGAGCGGTGGAGCCTGCCACCCGTCCCCCAGGACGCGGTCCTGGCCACCTGCTGCCCTGCTCTCCCTGTGGGCACTGTGAGCGGGGGTCTGTTGCCAGCACAGGTCTGGTTTGCTCTGTGAGCCAGGCAGTGTGTGAAAGCAGGATTGGGCTTGCTTAGTCCCTGTTTGAGAGCCCTAGTTGGGTAGTGCTTAGGAGCTGGGTGGCTAACCGCAGGGTCAGCCATTTGAAACCAGCAGCTGCTGCTCGGGAGAAAGATGAGGCTTTCGAGCCCCGTGGAACAGGGATGGCGAGGCGGTTCTAGCCTGCCCCCCAGGGCTGCTCAGAGTCAGGACGACGTTGATGGCCGTGGGTTTACATCAAGGTCATGGCCATGAGGTGAGACGGCCAGTCCCACAGAGGGCAGGGCTTACACCTGGGAGATTGGGGACAGACAGAAAGAAGAGGAATCCAGCCTGTGTTGAGGCAAGGAGCATTTCCTCTAATTAGAATCACGTTTTTCCCCTGGAGGAGAAACGGGAGTGGGGTCTCAGGGAAGCGGGTGAAGAGAAGTCAGAGCTGGGGCTCTTGCAGGGACACTGCTTCTGAATGGAAACATGTCCACGGCCGTCCGGCTGAAACGTCCCCGTCAGTGGGGCGTTTCACCCCTGGACGATGTGGACCTGGGCCGCCCTCGGCTCTGCAAAACCAGGCTGGAAGCCCGGGCTCTGCAGTCAGCGCTGCTGTTATCTGGCCCCGAGGTGGCGAGTTCTGTGTCTGGCAGGGCCTGGGGTCGGCATGGAGAGGAAGGGTCTGGAGGTGTCCTGACGAGGCCCAGGCCTGGGGCGGGAACTTTGTGATGGTGTTGATGTTGGAGCTGTGTGGACCTGTGTCTGTGGGCTGGGTCACTTCAGCTCCCGCTTGGTGACCCAGGGAGAGTCTAATTTCTCGGCCCCTTTCTTCCAGCGGGGATGGCACGATGCGGAAGAACATCGACGTGTGGAAGAAGTGGACCACCTTGAACAGCTTGCAACTGCACGGGTAGGGCTGCCGGAGGCAGGCGGGGCTCTTTCCCCAATGAGGTGTGATGAGAAATGGTGCAACTCGGGGTGTGTCTCTTGACACCATTCTCTGATGTTCTGTTCACGGCAGACGTCAAGGCCCCCGGTGCCGCTGCGGTGACGCGGTGGGCTGCCGTCCAGAAGGCCAGTGCTCTTGTGGAGACAGACGGGGCTTTTCACTCCCCTAAGGAGTTAGCACCCTTGGGAGCTCACGGGGGCAGCCGTTCTCGGTGAGGTGGAATAGGCTGGATGGCAGTGAGGTTTGAACGCTCCTTAGTTTACGTAGACGTCATGGGTGTTATTACCGTACTGCCCGTGCACTGCTGACGGAGCAGGCCTGCCAGTTAGCTCCAGGGCTCCAGCCCCCCTCAGCAGCCAGACCCAACCCCACTGCCGTCGACTGGATTCAGACTGCGGCCTCCTGTGGGGTCCATCGCACCAAAGTAACCAGCCTCGGCTTTCTCCTGTAGAGGGGCTGGTGGGTTGGAACTCCTAACCTTGCAGCTAGCAGCCCGATGCCTGAACTCAGTGCCAGCAGGCCCCCGGCGACTGTCTTGAGTGACGGCCCAGGCGGGCTCCTGGTGCCGAGTCTGGCTTTCTTCAGGGGCGCCCTAGCCAGCTGCATGGTTGCGGGAGAAGTGCTGCCGAGGTGGGACGGTTCTTAAAAGGTGGAGGAATGACCGTCTCCCACCGCAGCTCCCTGCTGTGACTGCCTGGCCTGGGTGGGCAGTCTCGCTGGGCTGGACACTGTCCCCTGCTGACCTGGGTCATTGTGTTGGAGGGCGGCACCTCACAGCACAGTGCACAGCTGACCAGAAGCATGTTGCCTGGCCTCCACGTGAGTGGGCTTGACTCCCGCTCACGTCCCCCCACGGGAAATGGACGGCCTTGCTCCATTGGGCTGCTGGGGAAGTTGGAGCCACAAGGGTGTCACCGTGGACACCATCAGGGCTCCTTACCCAAAATCACCCAGGACCTGTGCAAGTCAGGGTGTCTGGAGGGGCTGTGGGCTGTGTCTGCTGCCTTCTGGTGGCTGTGGCTTGGCGGCCTCGGCCGTGTCTCAGTGTGCTTTGCTCTACGCAGCCTGCAGCTGCGCATTGCCACGCGGGGCGCCGAGCAGCTGGCCCTGGGCGGGCGGATGGTCTACTCCACCTGCTCCCTGAACCCCGTGGAGGACGAGGCCGTCGTGGCCGCGCTCCTGGAGAAGAGTGAAGGTAGGCGTGGCCTGGGCCGCC